GTTTTTAAGGAAGAGTGTAATTTAATTTTATGTTTAATTTGGCTCAAAGAAAAATATTAGTGTCTCCCTCTAGCACCATCAGACTTCTTCTTTCTGTACTTTATGATGTAAATTTTGCTATTTGATTTTCAACTGAATTGTTTCCTTTAATATTCAAATTTAAGGCTATTTAGCTGATAACTGTCTAGGGTTGTGAAACAGGTTATCAAAAATCTGAGAGTCTAAGATAAGGAAAAAAAGGGGGGGTCTTTAACTCTATAAAATGTACTGTAACAGGTCAATGGGTTCACCTTGCCTGCTGCCTACACAGAACCAAGTTATCAAGATAGAGGAATCGCAGTGGAGAAAGTAATTCATGCACAGCTGGCTGTGTGGTAGACCAAAGTTTGTTACTCAAATCAGTCTCTCCAAGCATTCGGGGATTAGAGGGTTTTTGTTTTGTTTCTGTTGGTTTGTTTTTTGAGACGGAGTCTCACTCTGTCGACCAGGCTGGAGTACAGTGGTGAAATCTCTGCTCATGGCAACCTCCGCCTCCTGAGTTCAAGCGATTCTCCTGCCTCAGCCTCCCGAGTAGCTGGAATTACATGCATGTGTCACCATGACCAGCTAATTTTTTGTACTTTTACCAGAGAAGGGGGTTTCACCGTATTAGCCAGGATGGTCTTGATCTCCTGACCTCATGATCCTCCTGCCTCAGCCTCCCAAAGTGCTGGGGTTATAGGCATGAGCCATTGTGCCTGGCCAACGGCCTGCCTTTTATACTTGACTCTTTGGACTTCATTGACTTTATTTTAGCTTGTATTCTAGGATAGAGTGAACTTTATATTTTCAAAAATAATTTGCCAAGATCTTTTTCTGGGCTTCATGCTCTGTTCTCAGAACTCAGTACTGGTGGCTGTGGAAGAGAACACCCATCTAGGGCCCAAGACCCTGCTGGCCTGGCAGGGTTAGTCTGACACTTTGGGCACTAGCAGTAACAGCTCACCCTGTCTAACAAGTGTTCTCTCTGGGCCAGGCCCACCCATCTCTTTGCCTGGCTTTATTTGCACATGTAAGTGCCCCAAGGGCAAGGGCAGTACTATCCCCAATGAATGAATAAGGAGACTAATCTGTGTCTGGGCAGGCCCTTAACTTCTCATACCTCAATTTCCCTATTCTGGTAAATAAGGCTAAAAATAAGAATTCCCATTATTTGTTGGAAAATAATGGTATTAGACTAGTTCTTGGCATGCTGCCTGTCTCAGAGTGAGTGCTCAGCCAGAGTTAGTGATGATGGAGTTTGTAATGGTGGTGATGATGATGATGAAGGTGATAGTGATGATGTCGGTGAGGATTATGATGGTGTTTGATGTGATAATGATGGCGATGGGGGTGATGATAATGATGGTGTGGCGATGTTGGTGATGGTGCTGGTGGTGATGATAGTGGTTGAGATGATAATGCTGGCGTGGTGATGTTGGTGATGGTATTGGTGGTGAAGGTGATGATAATGACAATGGTGGTGTTGATGACAATGGCTGAGATGGTGATAATGGTGGTGTGGTGAAGTTGGTGGTGGTGATAGTGGTTGAGATGATGGTGTGGTGATGTTGGTGTTGGTGGTGATGGTGGTGGTGGTGGTGATAGTGGTTGAGATGATAATGAAGGTGTGGTAATGTTGGTGTTGGTGGTGGTGATGGTGGTTGAAATGATAATGATGGTGTGGTGATGCTGGTGTCAGTAGCGATGGTGATGATGGTGGTGATGTTGGTGTTGGTGGTGTTTGTGATGGTGGTGATGGTAGTGATTGAGATGATGATGATGATGGTGTGGTGATGTTGGTGGTGATGGTGATGATGATAGTGGTAGTGGTGATGATAGTGGTTGAGATGATGATGGTATCGTGATGTTGGTGTTGGTGGTGATGGTGGTGATGATGATGGTGGTTGAGATGATGATGATGGGGTGGTGATGTTGGTGTTGGTGGTGATGGTGGTGGTGGTGGTGGTGGTGATGGTGATGGTGATGTTGATGATGCTGGTGGTGATAGTGGTTGAGATGATGATAATGATGGTGTGGTGATGTTGGTGTCAGTGGTGATGGTGATGATGATGGTGCTGGTGGTGATAGTGGTTGAGATGATAATGATGGTGTGGTGATGTTGGTGTCTGTGGTGATGGTGGTGATGATGGTGGTGGTGGTGGTGATGATAGTGGTTGAGATGATGATGATGATGGTGTGGTGATATTGGTGTCAGTGGTGATGATGATAATGGTGGTGGTGATGATAGTGGTTGAGATGATGATGGTGTGGTAATGTTGGTGTCGGTGGTGATGGTGGTGGTGATGTTGGTGTTGGTGGTGATTGTGATGGTGATGGTGGTGATGACAGTGATTGAGGTGATGATGGTGTGGTGATGTTGGTGTCAGTGGTGATGGTGATTGTGGTGGTGGTGATGATAGTGGTTGAGATGATGTTGGTGTCAATGATGATGGTGATGGTGGTGGTGATGATGATAGTGGCTGAGATGATGATAATGATGGTGTGGTGATGTTGGTGTCGGTGGTGATGGTGATAATGGTGGTGGTGATGATAGTGGTTGAGATGATAATGGTGTGGTGATGTTGGTGGTGATGATAGTGGTTCAGATGATGATGGTGGTGTAGCAACATTGGTAATGGTGCAACCTCTGCCTCCTCAGTTCAAGCCGTCCTGCCTCACCTTAGC